TTATTATTATTATTATTATTATTATTATTATTATTATTATTATTATTATTATTATTATTATTATTATTATTATTATTATTGAAAAGTGATAACTGTTGCACAAGCCAAATTCCACTCATGCAACATTACTTTTCTCTTTCTCCTCCTATTCTTGTCACAGATCTGCTTCAAAAGTTCTCTCGACCTTCTGGATCAGATTTGGGTATGCAGATTGATAGAAGGAAGAAAGAGAGTTAAATATAAAAGGACAGATAGCCTGTGCTGTACATAATATTAATATAATGGAAGTGCCTTTTGCCTAGTGTTAAAAAAGGTCTTAAAAATCCATCCAGGAATCTAAACGTGTTTGGATACCTTTTTGTTGAGTGATATTTTTGTTGGTGCTTTTGTTTTGCTATTAATTCTCCGTTCATTGGATGCTCTTGCCACTGTTCTGGCTTTCGTCTCTTGGAGAGTTCATTTTGCTTGCCTCGTTGTCAATACTGTTGTTGTTGAGGATATCATCACAGTTGGTTTGTGCCATTAGGTTAAACCGCTCTGCCACACAGTGGGCCGTGAGTCTAGCTTCTGGGTCATGATCCCAGCATTCTGTGATGGTGTCACACAAAAAATGCATGCCCTGAAAGGAAGATGGTAACAGCTAGATTAGCATCCTGGAGCTGGAAAGGAAGGAAAGTTAATTGACCCTAAAATTTCCCTCCTTCAGATTTTTAACTAGCCTTGGATTGGGTTGAATTTGATGCTGCCTTGTGTCCCACTGGGATAGAAATGCAGGGTAAATATCAAATAAATAAATACGGATCTGCCACTCAGTCTTTAGAGCATTTTTTGCCACAGTTAAAACTGTAAGAAGTTTTTTTTTCTTTAATCAGGGTTTGAAGCTGCAGCTTGCTCTTCCATTCTTAGCAGTGGTAGGAGGATGACATTAACCTTGGATGAGGGGGCAAGATAGTCAGAAATAACAGAAGGCTCAAAGAATAGGCACAGCACACAGAGTCCCCAATTCAAGCAGACAGAAATCTTACAAAGAGCACTGGAATCTACATAATACATTGCCTTCTGATTTAATTTTAGGATGTATTTTCCTGGAAATTCCACACATGATGTCCAGTAGAACTTATGTATGTCTTGACATCAAGAGACTGTGCCTTTCTCACCCAGCTTTTTCTAGACATTACCAAGGGGGAGTTTGAAAACATTCCTTTTTGGGGGGACTTCAACTCTCCCAACAGCCATGGAAATAATTTTTAAAAAAAATTTAGAGGGGGGAAGCAAATTGTGTGGCTATCATTTTTATAGCATCCATGCGTTTTAACCTAGCAAAATATCTCAGCTGTCAGATTCTGTACCATAGGTACATTTTCAGAAAAGTCAGATTGGAAATTTGTATTCTCTGTTAATAAGTCAGCAACATGGTGCTCTCTAGATTTTTGGACTATAGGTCTCATAATTCCTATCCATTGGCCATGCTGCTTGAGACTTTAGTGACTGGTAGTCAAAAACACTTGGAGGTACAATAATGGGTTGCTCCATACCTTTGCAGGACTTTGACTTTTTAAAAAAAAATCACAAATAAAAATTGGAAATTTTCTCGTGCAGCAACCAAGTTACTGTAGTGATCATTCCTCTAACTCACTGGTTCCCAACCTCGTATCCCCAAAAGTTCTTAGACTAAAACTCACAGAAGCCTCCACCACTAGCTGTGCTGGCCAGGATTTCTGAGATTTCATTTATTTATATATATATTTATTTAAAATATTCTTGCCCAACCTTTCTCCTTAAGAGGGACCCAAGGCAGCTTATGTCATTGAAAGACAATATTTAAAGCTGAAACAATAAGTATATACATATTAAAAAGGAACAAACAAAACACCACTCAGAGATGGTAAAATAATCTTGTGGTCCAAGAACATCTGGGGATGCATGGTTGGGAAGCAATGCTGTAAATCTTTGACTGTTCCTAGAAATCTGGCATTCTGCAATATTACTCTAGCGTTTGCAACATATTTTTATTCAATTTAATTTATTGATAAACAATTGAGCTTGATGTAGTTAATTTTTGCTTGGAGCAGCTGTCTAAAGTGCCATTTTAGAATAAGCCAATGAACTTTCACTCTGTTATAGTCTAACATCAATTTGCCAAATAGTTTGAACAGAAGAAAGTGATAAGCAGATTGCATATAGTTAACCACATGTTTGAATGCTCACTTAGGTTTATAGCTTTCCCAGAAGTAGAAAACCAGAATCAAAGGCAAATAGCTTCTCTAAAACCTATTCGTCTTTACATACTACTTTAAGAAATTATTTAGAGGATAAGCATTATTAAGTCAAATTTCTTTCCATAGTGTAAATTGTTTAAATTATGCCTCTACATTCTGCTTCCAGAATATATATATATATTTAGAAGAACCCAATCCTGCTGCAAAATTGCAGGCTCTTGTGACCCCTTAAAAAACAAGAAATGTACTATGACAGGACTTTTATACATGAAAGTGTAGTTTGTCAGATTATGAAGTACTATTCTATGTTGACAGACAGATTTATACATGATGCGGGTGGGTGGTGACGGGAATCTATACTGCAGAGGCTATTACAGCACCAAATCATGTCATCCACAACATTCTGCAGTCTAAACACTGGTTTATCTTGCAATGTAATTTGTCATCATCATTCATGCCATGCAGTCATTTGCCACCCATTCCATGTAGGCTAAGCAGGCCAATCTCTGTGCAAAAGAATCATCGTTGTTTAATCATTTAGTCATGTCCGACTCTTCGTGACCCCGTGGACCAGAGCACGCCAGGTCCTCCTGTCTTCCACTGCCTCCCGGAGTTGTGTCAAATTCATGCTGGTTGTTTCAATGACCCTGTCCAACCATCTCATCCTCTGTCGTCCCCTTCTCCTCTTGCCCTCCCACTTTCCTAACATCAGGGTCTTTTCCAGGGAGTCTTCTCTTCTCATGAGATGGCCAAAGTATTGGCGTGTCAGCTTCAGGATCTGTCCTGCCAGTGAGCACTCAGGGTTGATTTCCTTTAGAATTGATAGATTTGTTCTTGCAGTCCAAAGGACTCTCAAAATCCTCCTCCAGCACCAAGAAAGAATAAATGTACACAAATTTGACATCAGAAATAGCAATATTCAAAAATCATCTTTTTGACCTCAGAATGGCCATCCTTGAACTAAAGAACGTTAGGGCAGCTTCCAATGGTAAACAGCTGAAAAAGTAAATCATCAGACTCAATATCCTGAGGCTTGAAAGGAGGCTTATAATCTGATGGCATAGGCTAAATCTGCTCGTCTATGCAGGTTCATCTGTTTGGTGACCATGTTATGGAAATTTCTCTTCCTGTGATATTTGGATTCGTACTCTTACCAGCCCTTCTGATTTCATTTCCTGGTCTACAACAGTATAGAGTTTAAATTCTTAAACTTGATTTTGACAAACTGTTCTTCACCATATTTGAGTTAATTCTATCTACTTTGGGATATGCTTGGAGCCTCCCAAGGACTGTTGAATGACCTTTGTGAAGATCATCACTATGCCGATATATTTTATGATTTTACCGAATTTTGCTATGAAGTCGGGGAACTAACACAAATGAAACAGTAAGTAAAATGGAACGAAGAAGACGGCCAAAGAGCCCGAAAAACCCACAACAACCATCAGATCCCGGCCGTGAAAGCCTTTGAAAATACAGTGATTCTGCTTAGAATCTGAGTTTGGCTCAGCAGGAAAGCATGCACTCCCCCTGCACCATATTTCTCAGCAGGATCATTATGAGTTGGGCAGTGTCACAAAATTTTGCTCTGATGGTAGAGGCAGAGGGCCACTCAGCCAGCAGCCAAAAGGCTTTTGGAGTGACTTAATAGATCAATAGTAAAGAAGACACTTCAGTTTAAAATCTGAAGACATTTCAGAGAATGAAAAGATGATGAGGAAAGAAAAGGGGGAAATATTAGATTTCAGCTATATAATCATTTAAAAAATGCAGCGACCAACTTAAATAGAAACTGCTTAAAAAGAAGAGAAACTCTGGGGCTTTTATTTTCTCAGCAAGGCCAAGAGAGTTGCCAATCTTCCCTTCTCTCCCTCTACTGCATCCTTTGGGGTATAACTGCTGTTGAAAGGCTGCAGGAAGTGGGATCTGTGCTTGCAGCCTTCAAATATGGCTGAAATTCTAACAACAGAGCACTGTTAGAGTCTGTGGCCAGACCAATTCATCCATTCATTTATAAAGCTTATACATTGTCTGAATTAGTGAAATCACTACTCAGGGTGTTTTACAAAATGTAAATATATTCAAACCAAAAAAAGAAAAAAATCCCTGCCTCCCAATCAAACAGTCAAATTAATCAACAGGTGACCATCAGCTGACACCAGATGCCTTTGGACTTGAAAACAAAAGGCTCTATCCACTTGTCTTAGTGGTAGAATGCATTAGCTCAATGGAGCAGGCCATACAGTCAACACGATTTGATCTCGCTGTCGAGAAACAAACATCAGGCAATGAGTATGCCCTGCTGTGTATGTAGCACCAGTTACACATTGTGAAAGGCCCATGGATGTTACGGAATCCATGAACTCCAAGGCCAACCCATTGGCTACCATCTTGGCATGAATGTTGAAGTCCCCCAGAAGCAACATTCTGGAAAACTTCAACATTGCTACTGAGATGAAATCTGTCAGCCTTGATAGGGAGAGCGCTGGGTTGCAAGGAGAACTCTACACCAGTACTATCCCTATTCAATCACGTTGGTCCATAGACAAGTTAAACCACTCCACACCTGTCTAGAGAGGTTGGAAATCCTATTGAATTTAATAGACTCTTTAAAAACCTCTAACTTCTCCCTCTGATCTGCCCTGGTGCTGGATGGAATAACCTGGGAGGGGGGGAGAGATTTGAGAGAAAGCTACCCCTCCATCTGCACCCACCCAGGTCTCAGTAATACATGGCACCATCATGGTTAGCCCTGAGCCAAAGGTGTGGGGTAACAGTTGCACGGCAGTTTTTCACTGATGTCAGAGAGAATGCTGAAAAGCATCAACTTTGTCACACCTATATTAAGAGAAATAAGGACTGAGTAAACATGCAAGGTAACTAACATACCATATGGCTCTGCAATTGCATTGCTTCTCCTAGTTACCAGATGCTGGTCAAAAGAATAGCTATAAATGTTAGGTCCATTTGCAATCTTCTTGGAATGATAAATCACTTTTGCTACTGTGAAATGATACAGCAAGGCAGTTCTTACATTCATACCACACCAGTGGTATAACCTACAATGGAGATACACCTTTTTCTCTCTAACTGCATTATATCAGTGATGAGCAAATTCCAAAGGGCAGGGAGCCACATTGAACTTCCAAGCTATTGGGGTCACACTGCCATTGTGATTCCTGCCACTGCCAAAATTTGATAGCAACCATGGTGCTACAGCAACGATGATGTCACAGTGCATTATCATCATAGACTTTTCCAGTTTGTAGGGCACAGTGTCTCTTTGAGGCACCAAAGAGAAAGTAAGGAATATCAGTTTCTTTTGTTCCTGTCGTTGGCACTATTCCCAGCACCCCAATTTTGTAAGTAGTGACAAATGGGGGTAGACTGAAACTAAAAATGGCTGAGGGGGGCACACTGCCCCCCTTGGTTGTGGGGGGATCTTACCTGATGCACCAGCCAGTTACTTGGCATCTCTGGACGACCTCGACCATGCAATACAATGTCTCTCATAACCTCCATGCAGGGTTGCTCTCGAACCTTTGCTCCAAATGGCAGTTCATAACTCTTGACTTCTACAATGAAGCAATGTTAGCGTATGTCAGTCAGAGAATACACATTTACTCTGCTCTCAGTAGCAAAGATATAACCAAGAGTGAGTCTAAGCTACGTACAGTATACAGTTAACAGCAGATGGATAACTCTTGTCATTATCATGGCTCTACCAAGTTATGCTTCATGAGGGACGGCTCTGCTAAAAAACTCTTGTGCTCTCTCTGAATTTTAAGTACCTCACCAAAGTACAAATCCTAGGGTGCAACAGGATGGAGCCATGATTATTAAACTGGTATTGAACTGCTATCACTGTGTTGTATAGATATAGTCCAAGTGCATTCATGCAAATAATTAAACTTTTGAGTGTTGTCCAGTGAAAGCTACATGTGAAATAAAGAATGAGGGAAGACAAAAGCAGCCATGTCAGAAGGATGTAGTGACCTGGATATCTACAAGATATTTCTTCTTGGTTAATGATCTGTAACTTAGGTCCTAGTTAACACAAGCCCTACATAGCTACACTTCACACCCTTTACCAGCCCTATCTGAACTTTCAGGGGATTGAATCTGAGATCCTTGGGATGCAAAGCATGACTTGTGCCCCTGAGATACAGCCCTGCCTCAAAATTGTGCACCTACATCTCCTATGAGTTAGAATCAGCACCAGTCCAAAGCATACTGGATTCACAGGAGGAGCTGGTGTTATTGCTATTGTGATGAAAAATATGAAATTGTTTAAACACTAATTATCGGCATTGTTAACAAAATGACAATTAGTTCTGTGCCTTGTGACGTTCCAGTTGCTTCCTCCAAGCATCTTGCTACTGCCTTATTTTGTAGCCTCGTCCAAAGTGAGCAGAAACCTCGTAGTGATGTCTTTTTTACATAATATACTGAAATGCTAACAATGATTTCTTGGTGGAAAAACAGTACAATGTATCTTGGAGTCTGTTGACAGTCTATAAAACTGAGCTAGATCCTCTGTCCACCAAATACAGTATTGTTTGCTTCAGTTGGAAGAGGGGGAGGGCCTTTGAGTTATTCAGCACTGGTTAAAGATGTGCAGTGGAGCATGTACAACCTGCTCAATTGAGCTAATATATTATCCCATTAAGGCAGAAGTATACAGTCTTTTTTTTTCAAGTCCAAGGGCACCATGTAATGTTGGCTTGAGGGAGGGTCATACCTGTGTGTAGCCACTCCTGCCCACAAGGATCTCCAGGAAAGCAACTGAGTCTCCTAATAATCCTAACCCAGATCACTTACTCTCTGCTCATTGCTAGTAGCAGTGAGAGAAAGAAGCCCAGGATATTTAGAAGTAGAGCAGAAACTGAAGTTAGTTGGAATGAAGATTTTGCAACAATGGCAGCAGGGCCAGAGCACCACTGAACAGCTAAACACAAGGTCTAGGTCACAGATTGGGGAAACCAGTCCCTGGGTGGTACATGCTTGCAGTAAGAGTGATTCAGTTTCCTTTTCCAGCAGCTTCTTGGAATGTCAAGGCTTGCATTGTCACAGAGCACAGACAGGAGCTCTGTTCTTCTGGATGTTGAAATCCAGTTATCATCAGCTCCAGTCAGTGCTACTGAATGACAGTTGTCTTAACATCTAGAGAGCACAGCTTACCCACCCTGTGAACCTGTAAAAAAGTAATATTTGGAAACCAAAGAGCGGTGAGTCTTACCTCCTATAACATCACACCTGGAGGCTATTTCCCATAAAACCAAAGCCATGGAGTAGACATCCATTTGTTTGAAGGACTCCAGATCTTCAAGATTCACTCTGGATTCTAAAACTTCAGGAGCCATATATCTGGCAGTGCCTACCTGAAGATAATTCAAAGAGACATGAGTTGGCGTATGCACAAGACATGCCATGTTGCTTCCAAGTTAAAAGAAGCATGCATTTTGTGATAATTTTTTAAATAATAATGTAAAAATAAATTTGAATAAATCAACAGCTTGCACAATAAATCAATAATGTAAAAATAAATTCTAATAAATCAACAGTGTGTGCAATCTAATTTGTAAGTGTAAAGACTTGGGATGTAAAGTTTAAGAATAAAAGGAGACCCAGTTGTGAAATATAAAACAGTTCCATCCTTTTATCTCTTAGCTTTTGGCCAAGAATATGGTCACTGGAAATGCTTTTAACATATACTTTATATGGGGAAGGATGGGACTGCTCAGCTTGAATGTTGACAGTTTTCTCCTCAGATTGCGCCTGTAAACCTTTTGCTGTTTTTTTTTAAAGAACCATGGCTGAGGGTGTGTCTGTAGGGTGAGAACCTGAATGCAAAAAGGGACAGAGAAAAAAGAGTGACATAGTTCCCAGAGACCTTTGTTCCTGTTGATACTCCCCGGCAGCTTTTGAATATTATTACTATTATTATTTAAAAGAAAAGTGACTCAAGACTACATATTCCCTCCAGATGCAAGAAGCTGCCAACATGTCATTTAGCAACACTACGGTAGCATTGTACAAGCCAACGGAAGGGTCACTTCAATCAGTAAATGTATAAATAAGTCACGAAAGGTAGAAAGAAAGCACTCCTGACACACTACGAACCATGCCTTGGCAAGGAGGCCTACCAGATTGGACTGCCTGAGCAAATTGGTCTCAGCCAAGGAACAGGCCGAGGCATCTTACTACAAAACAATCATAGTCAAGCCAAGGTCACTTCTAGGAAGGGAGAGCGGTGCCAGGACAGAGACTAGCAGGTAAAAAGTAGTCAGATCAGGTGAAAAGGGTCTGTTTTATAGTCATCCTTTAACAGAGGTGATCGGGTGGGAGGAGAGGAGCTGGTTTCCAAGGAGACGGAAGGACTTGCTGGGAGTAGAGCGAAGGCCTGTCAAGACAGGGGAATTTGAAGTGGTCTCATTCACACTTAAAAGGTTCTTGCCTTCAACACAATCTATTTTAATCCACACAAGTCTTTTCATCATTGGTGTAAGGTGTACCCAGTTCACTGATAAGTAAGGAGGCAGCAGTGGAGGACAAGTGCTGGCGTGATGGTTGGGGAGACTGAAAGGAAGGGAACCCCCTCTTCTCCCCCTTTTCTCCTCGTCTGGGGCTCTGCTGGGCTCCACTGCCTTGTCGGAGTGGAGACCATGGAGTCAACATAGCTCCTTTCTCCACCTTTTCCCTTGGCCATCATTCAGCCAGCCACAATTAATTTCCTTTTTTGTGATACAGCGGATCCCCGACTTACGGAATTAATCCGTATAGGAACTGTGGCCGCAGGTTGAAAATTCCGTAGGTTGAGGCTCCATTTCCCATAGGAATGCATTGAAAACCCATTAATCCGTAACTGGCTGGAGAAAAAAATCTGGGGCTTCCAAAGCTGCACCCGCTGCCCTCTGCCTTCTGTCCCCACTGTCCTCTGCCTCTCATCCCCATGGGGACAGGAGGCAGAGGGCAGACAAGAGGCCAGTGGGTCCAGCTTTCTAAGCCCTTAAAGCCCAAACATGAGACCGGGCGCAGAGCGGCTTTCAGCTTTCCCTGTCTCCCCTCACTCGCAGCTTTGGAAGCCAAAAGCTGCCCTGCACCCACTGTCAGCTTTGGGCTTTCGGGTTAGACCTGCAGCCTACGGACTGGAAGTGGGAGGCAGGGAAAGTGCCAAATTTGAATTTGGCGCTTTCCCCACCTCACCCTTCTGGTCCGTAGGTTGCTTCTCTGGCCGCAAGCCGAAGTGAAATTTTGTGGCTGGAGAAGTCTGTAAGTCCAAAAGTTCATAAGTGGAGCTGAATGCAAGTCGAGACTCCACTGTACTGTTAATTAAAGCAAGTGCATATAAAAAAGCAATGCATTGAACTAGCATAGTATTAGAATTGTGCTGCTTTACTTAGGGCAATGTGTTTTTTTTAAAAAAAGACAAAAACAGAGAAGGGGGTTTCTCCCTTTAAATGCCACAACCCACCTATTACATCAGTAGCCAGTGGAGGTGCTGTAATAGGGGGGAGGGGGTTATGTGATCCATGTGACCAACCTCAGCTAACATTCTGGCTGCTGTGTTTTGGATCTAAATACTTTCCAAAGGCAACCCCACAAACAATATGCTACAGTAATCCAGCTGGGATGTAACTAAGGCATGTGGCACCGTAGCTGGATCAGATTTCTCCAGGTATGTACTGAACATACTGTACTGTCAAATTGTAGATTATTGACAGGCTGTTTAGCAGCTAAAGTCATGTTATAATTCCAGATACGTAATTCTGGCAGACCTTCATGACAAAGCAAATTACCGGAGGACTGAACAGCTCTTGCTTGGCCCATCAGACTTTTTCAGCATTAGAGGAAATCCCTCTTCTAATGACATGCTATGTTCTAATGTACAGAGGAGGGCGACAAGGGTGATCAGGGGGCTGGAAACCGAGCCTTATGAGGAAAGGCTGAAAGAATTGGGCTTGTTTAGCCTTGAGAAAAGAAGGCTGAGGGGTGATATGATAGCACTTTTCAAATATCTGAAAGGCTGTCATACAGATGAAGGGCAAGATCTGATCTTGATCATCCCCGAGAGCAGGACACACAACAATGGACTCAAGTTAAAGGAACCCAGATTTTGGTTGACTATCAGGAGAAAGTTCCTAACTGTCTGAGCAGTACGACAGTGGAACCAGTTACCTCGGGAATTGGTGAGTGTTCCAACATTGGAGGCATTCAAGAAAAACCTAATCACCTGGCAGATATGCTTTGTCTTCCTGCATTGAGCAGGGGAATGGACTTGATGGCCTTATAGGCCCCTTCCAACTTCACTTTTTTATGATTCTATGATCCATAGAAAGGTGAGATATAAATTCATATGGTGAATAAATTAGATGGGAGTCATATCTTCTCCTGTAATATTTTTCCCATTGCATACGATCAACTGCTGTGGATTGGATGTGACATTCTGAAGAAACTCTTTCTTGTACTGTCCCTGCAAAATGGGTCTTCCCATCTAGAAGGGGTAGCCGGTCACAATCATGATCCTAACCCTGAAATCCATGTTCTCTGAAAGATCTGCATGTGGACTGTAAATGTCTGCATGAGGTCAAATGAGTACCTTTCAGATATTGTGGTCTACAACTCCTGTAAACCCTTACTATTGATCCTGTTACAGAAGCTTCTGAAAGGTTAAGACTGAAACATCGGGAGGGCCAAAGGTTTCCCATCACAGCCATAGGAAATCTTATGTGCATAGAACTCGTATCTATCTAAGCTTCTTCTGAACATGCCAAGTTTCTGATCCTATGCAAGCATTTCCTACCTATGTTTGTGTTATGTGTCATCAAGTTGCAACTGAGTTATATAGTGATCCTAATAAGATTTTCAAAGTATGTGCAATATTCAAGGAGTAGTTTTACCTATGTGATCCTCCAGGGACTTTCCATGGCCAACCAAAGATTTGAACCCAGGTCTCTTGAGTGTTAGTCTTTTAATCTGTCCACTACAACACACTAGCTCACCTCCCCATGTAGGGGCTTCATTTACTCAACACAAGGAAGCTGCATGGTAGGGAAAGTAAGAAGCCATTCAACATTGAGAGTAAGGCTAACGGTGTGGCCCCTTGGATTCATGAAGCTCTTTTGACCTGAATGGGACTATTAACAGCCTTTCCATCTGACAGAAATTATGAACCTACCTGTCCGCTGTTAGCAAACTCTTCCACCGTTAAGGCTGGATCGAGTCTCAAAGCAATACCAAAGTCACAGAGCACACATTCCTGCCCATTTTTCATTAGGATGTTGGTACTTTTGATATCCCGATGGGCGATGGGGATCTTTGGGTGACCACAGGCAGTGTAGTCACTGTGCAAGTGAGCCACACCATTCACGAGGGAACCAGCTGTCTTTTGCAAGTCCTTCCAGGTCAGGATATTTCTACATAGATAATCCTTGAGATTGCCTTGACCATGGTAGGCTGTGATGAGCCAGTATTCTTTCTGCAGACCTGAGTGCCTCTCTTCTGCCGAGAAGAATTGGAGGATGCTCTCATGGTTCAGGTTGGCATCGCTGAAGATCTGGCTTTCGTTTTTCCAGGAGGCATACTCTTCACAAGGGAAAATTTTAACTGCCACAGCTTCATACTGAGAGCGTGATGAGGTATTCCTGAGTTTTGCTTTCCAGACCTCAGCAAACTGCCCTTTCCCCACTCGTTCATCAAGCTCAATGGGCAACAGTTCTGTGTTGTAACTGACGGTATCAGAGCAGCCTGAGCGCACCGTGGAACTGCTGTCTATTTTGACAGACAGTATTTCTGTATAGCCAGTGTTTCTGCTTGGCTCAGGCAGCCTGTGATGTTGGGTTTGTTTCTGGGCCCATTCCTTGGTGATCCTCCTCTGTCTATGGGTTCGGCAGAGATAGAATATCAGGGTTGTCATGATGGCAATTAGCAGAGGAGGCAACAAGCTGATGGCTGCCACAGGAATTATTTCTTTGCTTTGCAACATAGAATACCCTGGGGTGAAAGAAAGCAGGGAAGGAATAGTTAGTGGGACTGTTTCTGGCCATACAATTTATCAGTGATGCGTGGATTACAATAAAAACACAGCTTCCCCTGGATAGTAAGCCCAGCTCATGTAACCCAACATTCTAACTGTAATCTACTCTTAATATGGCAAATCAGAGATGGAGACTGATGTTAGCCAAAACTATTGTGCAGCCACCTATTGCCCAGTAACAGCTAAAATAAAATAATGAGCTTCTCCATTGTTAACTTTCCCTCCAGGTAAGGGAAAGAAAGGCTTATTGAAACTGGCCAAAATCCTGTTGCTTAGTGTATTAAATTGCACTAGAGTAGCCACGGTCAATGAATGGGGATTTGGTGAGTCAATTCCTCTGTAAATGCCACTGATTCAAATGAACCTACTCTAACTGCAACTTTTAGCATAATAAGTCACAGATTGAGTAGACCCACTTGAATTTATGGAGGAATTGACTCAATAAACCCCAGTTCATTCAATGGGCATACTGAAGTGCAATTTACTATACTAAGCAACAGAATTTTGGCCAGTGTGCATTTTCTGTTGGCATAACAACAATCTTGCATATACTGTACTTGTACACTGGATATCACTGGGTGAGGGGATTCACAAACTAAGGTGATTCTCCTTGTGCCACTAACCTCTTGCTAAAGTTCTAACTTCTGCCTCTGAGGCAAACCCCTGCCCCTCTTCCTGTTTTTAGTTCTCTCTTTATTGACCCATCTCCATATGGCAGGCATGGAAGGATGTCTCTCCCACATGCAAAAGACTCTAACTTTTTTATTTTATTCTTCAGTTTGTAACTACTGATTACAACTGCAAATAAAGAAACCTTTTTTCCTACTTTAAGTACTTCTAAAGTGATTTTGTACCAGCAAAGTGCTAGTTTGTGTGGGGAAGCCAAAGGGACAGGATGATGAAGCTGGGTTCATCTCTCCATGTTTCTTACTTTGCTAGCTAAAAGTGAGACACCTGAAATTCCCAACATATTCCTATGTCTGTGATCTCACTCGATATGAACTAAAATAACATGGAAGGATAGGTTCTCCCTTTATGGCAACAGAACAAGTAAGAAAATCTTAGTGCGGGAGGGAAAACAAATTAACTGGAGGAAATACACTTTCCTCTTCAAGTTCAGTTTGACCCTCAAACTTCCAAATGAAGCCCATATTGTCCTTACAGTGACCAGTAACAAAACAAAACATGCTAAATGGAAGGTACATTGTTGAGAGAAATCATATGTACAAAAGATCTTCTGTAGAAAATGCATGCTATGATAATTGTCGAATTTGACCCACAGGTAACAGACAGAATGAGTTTTTGTCTAAGACCTTTGAGATCTGCTGTTGATCACAGTACTGTATTGTAGACATAACTGGTCTGATTTAGCATACAGCAGTGTTGTATGGACTGAGCCAAATCTTTTTTGTTGATGGAAATTAATCATCTTTACCTAAATATATATATAAATCATGAATGCAAAAACCCAAGAGAGCAAGGATGGAAAATGCTGCTAACTTATTTGTTCCAGGATTCTTGAAAAGTGACATGGCTGGGCTATTCATGATCAGATTCTTTTAAGGAAAGAGTATTATGTAAAGTGTACCCTTTCTTTACTTTTATTTCATTCATCCATTTTTCTAAAGTACTTAATAAAATAGTAGGAAAATATAAAAGTTCAGTTCAAAAATAAAGCTAAAAAATAAAGTAGTAACAAAATATGAAGTCAGTTGAAAAATAAAACAAAAATAAAAATAGTACAGTATTAAAAAATTAATTGTATCAATATCATAATGTAGACGAATACATAAAGACAGTTTAAAATAACAAATGCACGTTATTTTAAGAGCCCCCTCAAAGGCAACCAGTTACCGGGGGTGGGGTGGGGTGGAGGAAAGCCTTCCTGAGGAGAAAGGTATTTGCCCACTTGTGGAAGGACGATAAAGATGGGGCCAGTCTGGTATTCTATGGGGAAACTTTCACAGCTTGGGAGCAGCAGCAGAGAAAGCCCTCTCTTGTGTCCTCACCAAACACACCTGCGGGAGTGGCAGGACTCTGGTGAGCTGGAAGTCTGGACACACTCATATAAGGAGGCGCAGTATTTCAGACAGCTTGGATCCAAGTCACAGAGGGCTTTGAAGAGGGCAAACCAAGCACTTTGAATTGGGCCTGGAAGTAGGCTGGCAGCCTGTGGGGCTGTTGCAACAGGGTAGCTCAATGTTCCCAGTAACCAGACCCAGGTAACAGTCTGGCCTGCAGAGTTTAGGACCCACTGAAGTTTCAGAACACTTTCCAAAAGCAGCATTAGCTGTTCTTAGGAGAGAGAATACAAAAGGTATTTGGCTAGCATCAAAATGATACTGGCAGGTGTACCAAGTGACATCCCCAGGGAGGATGTAAAGATAAAGAGCCGCCTTCAAAGGAGTTCCATCCACCTAGTGGCACTTCAGTGTCATTAAAACAGAGGGTCCAACGGCAATCTTGGTGGATAGGCAGACTGATAACAAGAGGTTTCCTGCAGTTATTTGGATCCTAATCTATACAGGGCACTTTAAACCATGCTTGGGAACTTCCTGGAAGCGGATGGCAGTATTTTAGGACAAACCAAACGTCACCTTCTCGCCCTGTTGCAAAAAGATAAGTAGAGTTCTCTATCACAAGCTGTGAAAATAAAATAAAAAGCATGATGGATCATGTTGTTGACCAAATATAATAGCTCAGGGAGAGAAGTTCAAGAACTGTCCCCTGAGCAAAAAGTGGTCGACCAGACCAGATGGGTGGGATATAAATAAATAAATAAATAAATAAGTAAATAAATAAATAAATAAATAAATAA